CAGGGCCTGCGGACCTGTGGAAAGAGAAGACCATGCCAGAGCAGGTTTGCTGGCAGGGCTTGTGACCCCATGGGGAGCCCTGCGCTGGAGCAGCCTGTTCCTGAAGGACTGCACCCCATGGGAAGGACACATGCTGGGGCAGTTCATGAAGAGCTGCACCCCGTGGGAAGGACTCACGTTGGAGAAGTTTGTGGAGAACTGTCTCACGTGAGCAGAACCTCACACTGGAGCAGGGGAAGAGTATAAGGAGTCCTCCCCTGAGGAGGAAGGAGCGGCAGAGACAGTGTGTGATGAACTGACCGCAACTCCCATTCCCCATCTCCCTGCACTGCTCAGGGGCAGGAGGTAGAGAAATAGGAGTGAAGTTGAGCCCAGGAAGAAGGGAGGGGTGGGGGCAAGGTGTTACAAGATTTAAGTTTTATTTTCTCCTTACCCTACTCTGATTTGATTTGTGATAAATTAAACTTCCTTTTCTCCCCAAGTTCAGCCTGTTTTGTCCGTGACAGTAATTGGTGAGTGATCTCTCCCTGTCCTTATCTCAACCCTCGAGCCTTTTATCATATTTCTTCTCCCCTGTCCAGCCGAGGAAGGGGAGTGACAGAGTGCTTTTGGTGGGCACCTGGCATTTATCCAGGACAAACCAAAACAATGGAAAAGCAGTGAATCAAGCTAAAAAGAGAGTAGGCATATAATAGTTTGTCTAGAGTTTTGGAAATTTACTGCCAGTTCATCCAAGTACAGAAAAGTCCACCCTTTTTCTGCAACTATCTCACGAAGTTGACCTTCACCATAAACTTAGCCTCAGCAACCTCTGTTATAACAGTGTAATCACAATCTTTTTCAAATCATCATTTCAGTACTGCGGACATTCAGGTCTGATTTTTAATCACTGACATGTTAAGCATCAGCAAAACAGTTTGTTTAGCTGTTCCACTGGCAATTTTTAAAAAGGAATGAAAACATGTACCCATTTGATTACCTTGTTAAAGTGAGTCATGATGGCATTATAGCAGAGGTCAGTATTTCTGCTGTAATTAAGAACCTGTCATATTTTTCATTAAAACACATTCTTTAAAATGAGACTTTTAACTTGGTCATTTCAATCAGTATCAGCCTGAAGTGTCAGCGTGCAACATGCCAACTAGATAAAGAAAACAATGTCTGAAATTTGCTCTTGCAAAATGTGAGTATGAGTTAAAGTGCCCGTAACACGCACACGCACAATAACTTACGCATTTTATATGCACATTCTCTGTCTCTTAACTACAAAATAGCTTTCTTTTTTTAAAATTAGTTTTCACAGGTTCTCACCGCTGCTCCGAAGTGTAAACCATTCTATGTAAAACCATTCTAGAGCAAAAAGATTGTTTTCAAATAGAAACAAATGGCTACTTACAAGGCACATAAGTAAAACTTAACTTTTTTTTGCTCTGAATCAAACTCTGTAAATAATTAGAATTCCGCAGATGTGAAGCAGAATTTGTTGATTTTTTTACAACATTTAAGATTTATAGGTTTCTTATAAAAAAAGAGAAAAAGAATCTAAAAGGTCTTGGGGGTTTAACAGGAGTTAGTTGAGAAAAAAGCTTGTACAGAAGACAACAGAGTCAATAGGACAGGAACTGGGGTAAATGCATATTCAGTGTTATGAACATGGCATCTAAAATTCTGTAGCACCTACTGGTTTGATATGAGACTTAAAACAGGTAATCTAAGACTGAAATTGCTGTAAACATTCCCAATGCATGTGTTTCAAGTAGTAACAACACTTTGCAGAGAATGTCCTTTCTCTTGCATACAAATTCTTTTTCCTTTCTTTTTGTTGTTTTGTTATTATTTTCATTAATACTGGACCCAGTTTTTGTAGGGCTATGTCCCTGATAATGTATTAGTTTGTCTAAGAGGTTTTTATACAAATTTGAGGGCACTGTATTGCTGCAATGAAATATGTCAGGGTGTCATATGAAATAGCTCTACCACTCAGGTAGTCAGAGAGGGCAAAGTGATTCAGAATGACCCCACCCCAAATCTGACTAGAATCACTGAAATAATTTTCGTTTCATGGAAGAAACCGCACAAAAAAGTATATATCTATAATTTACAACATCTTATTCTTAAAAGAAATCATAGGAAGCAAACAATTTTTACTAGTATCCTTTTTTAGTTAATAAACTAATTAATTACCTAGGTTCAGTAACACACAGGTGGGGCTGTATCAAGCATCCACAAACTAAAAAATTTATGTTTGTAAAAAAGACAGAGTAGGACACTCCTGTCTCAGTACCGTCAGCTCCTGGCAATCCATACCTATATTATCTCCAGTTTTCTTCGTTGCTTTATAACACAGCTTTTCTTCACCTTTACAAATGATATTTTAAAAACTATGAAATGCTCTATGCTGCTCAAACTTCCTTTCTTCAATAGTTTCTCAATGCTGTACAAGTAAATCCACATCCTTTGTTACTAATATACACAAACCTATTGGTATGTGACTTTGACTCCAGGCTGAGAACAGGCTATAAATTTAGAAATCAATATCTAACTCTATCAATATTCATTTTACTTTTTCAATACAAAATACAGAGGTGAAAGAGCAGTAAATAAGCTGAAGCACTGAAATAAATTGGGTGTTCTTGTCACAATTAATAAATGTTTAACCAATAACACTGCTTGCTACAGAAGTCTATGGCTTTGTAAGATGTCTGCAAGTAGCAAGTGCTACCCTTGTGAGACTCAAAACCTGAGAACGTGTTTCGATACTTCATTAGGATCACCAGTCATTCTCTGCAGTACTACTGAACCTAAAGATATAAATGACCATTTTCAATACTGTGCAGAGTGCTACAAGAACTAATTTACCAATACAATTTATTAAAAAAATGCTGATGAGAATTTTGAAAATACTTCTTTCAACAGATTGGCTCATATCAGGTGAAACTGCTAATTTGCAGCAATATAGCTCAAGAAAACGGTTGCAGTTAATGACTCATGTACAGACAAGCCTTTCAAGTTTCACTATGATGTTAAATATGGACAATTATTAGCAGAATGGTTCTTTTCATTTCCAACTTTTGTTCCTGTGAATATACAAAATATACAACTTTTGGCCTTTCTTTCTTTCAAGAAAAAAGTTTACAAATTCTTCTACATAAAATCTGGTCCTTCTGTTCCTATATCTTCGCTAACTAAAACTACTGAAAGGAGAATAATCAAATAGTGATCTTTCATTTTAATCCAAATCTCCAAATGCATTTCCATTCTAAAAGGAAATGTTGTTTCTTTCATAAAATGGCATGAAATACTGACAAAGACGAACCACCAAGATCTGTGATGGATAAACAATAGTTTAGCTGCAGGAAGGTTAGGCTTTGAGAAAACTGTAGTAATTTGTAAAATGTTACACATTATCTACACATATATACAAGTTTAGTGAAAGTTTACCAAAGTTTCTACTTGCTTAAAGATTTACAATGATGAAATGCAGAAAAATAATTTCATAACACCACAGAAAAAATTCTCAGTCCTCCTACCCACAATGAAATTGAAAATAGTACCTTGAATTTGAAGAGAAAAAAACCTCACACATTAGACAAAAAGTACCTTGTACGATACCTCTATCTGCAATTATTCTCTGTCACTCTCCATGTAAAGGCAAATTTTGGGGGCAAAATAATCTTGATAATTGTGAATATATACATATGTAACATTGAATGACCACATAATATATTTGCCTTGGTATCAAAATATTGGCTTTGCAAAGTTATGCAGAGGAGTCAGCTTGTAAAATAAAATACTGAACCCTGAAAGCCCAAGGTAAAATGAATAATAAAATGAATTTCATGACACTTCATACCCTCTCAGTACAAAAATGACATCCTCTAGTACTTGAAAGTTGTGAAGTGAAAATCACCTTGTAGAAATAATTGTATTATTCTCTCTTCAGCCATTAAGTATTTTTCTTTCTCACTTCACATATGTTCAGAGTCTTAGAAGCTGACCCATACATTCTCTTTTTCCATACTGCTGCCACTAAGGTGCTTTAACAACATTTTTAATATTATTCTTCGTCTGTTTCTGCCACTGAGGTTTGAAACAAAGTTTCAGGAGGGGGAATTCAGTTGGAATACAAATATTAGGCTTCTCTAAAGACATCTATTTAGGGTACATTTGAAGAATGGTATGTGTTGCATATATTGCTACAGTAACTGATACATGACTAGGACATGCAATCCAGATTTCCGTACCAGCAATATATAAAATGCCTCACACAGGCACACATACACATCTAATCCCTCCAGTATGCACACATACAATTAATACAACAAACTGATGAGAGTCCTATAAATCACTGCTAAGTATTGAAAAAGCCATTTCACAGCTGTGACATCAGCAAAATGCATTCAATGGTTGTGACCTCGCATCTGTAAAAATCTTTCAGAAATGTGCCTGCAAGTGCTTCCTATTTAATCTACGGCAGTAATTTTAAACGTGTGTTTCACAGCCTTATCTTCACATTCTCAATTGTTTGCGCAAGAATTCACATTCTATCTTTATTTTGCAGGATATTTATAGTATTCATACACATTCCTCACAGAAAAAAGACACCTCATGTCTTCTACCTTGTGATCCTCGAACAGACAGAAGCAGTAATCTTTACTGTCTATGACTCTCAGCATTCAAAGAAAGATTTATCCTCTTTAAAGAAGTGCTGTGCTACAAAAGGACTAAAAATTGGAAGTGTTTGAGGGAGAATTAGAGAGTCTATTTATTTCTCAATCTTTATTAATAAATAAGGATAGCACATATCTGAAGTTATATGGAAAGTTACTGAATTTACCAAGCGTTTTCCCAGGTCATTGACCTACTGCTTTGTATTTAGAGATTTAACATCTTGTGTTTTGTGTTCTGTCCCAGGGAAATTGGTTACCTGTTGGTCCTGGCAGGGGAGCAGCTTTCCTTCTCCGTTTGATGTCTCCCATGCACAATGATCCTAAATGTACACTGGTTTGCCTGCAAGTAATTATAGGAGAAAACTATTAACAAAGGAAGAAAACCGCCACGTAAATACACAGCTTGTATAATCTGAACCTGTATCAAAACATTCTCAACCAAGATGAAGCTGCACAGTCAAGCCACCAATCTTGTTTATATCAAAGCATAATTATGTTTGTTGACAAGCGCTCAGTATCTAAATGCAGCATCATAAATTGTTACTGGAATGAATAATAAAAAGGGAATGCTTTTTAATTTTCAAAACTGGCAATCTTTCTAGCTCAACATAAAACAAAAACACTGTTGCTCCTGACAGGAAAATAGCTAAGATTAATTATCTAAAGAGATCACAAAACTGTTGGTAGGTTATCAGTTGGCTAGTAACGCCTGGCTGTCAGAACAACATTTATTACATGAAAAGTATTATCATTTTTTTTTAAGGCAAGATGAAGAATGAATGAGAAAACATGAAACAGTAAACTCTTCAAAGGTACATGAAATAAAACTGTATCACACCAATTTGTCTTCTAGTTCACTGGCAAGTTGTGAGAATGATAACACAGAAGCACAGTATCTGATATATTCATTAAACAATTATGAGCTTACACTTGGAAAACTGGTGGAGCTGCAGAGGATGGCAAACAAACCAACCTTGTTGCATCAATGCCAGCTATTAGACGTCAGGTACCACAGAAAAGGGTAAATTTGGAATTTCCAAATACTGAATTTTGGAATATAAACCTAAAGGACAACTACAGTTGTTATTTTTTTTAATGTACAGTGCCTGTAGAATGGAACATATGTGACTGCCATTTTTTTGGAAAGAACTATAACAGAAGGGGGGAAAATGCAGTAATTTCTAAACTCCACAATTTTAATATGTTTCAATAAATGTTACTGAGAACTGTGATTCTTACCACAAGAATGCAGTGAATTTTAATAAAATTACAAGCTGAGAATTGTATTTGATAGTCTACTGCAGCATAGTAGCACTGTCACTCTTGGGATCTGGTTTCATTGTGGATATATGACTTAACCTTTACTCATTTATAAACTTTATAAAGCTGTGCTGCTTATAAATGAGTAACAAATAGTCACATAATGTTGAGAGACCCCAGATCTGCTCAATAATGTAAAAGAGCAACAACAACACCTTGACGAAAAAGATGACAATGTGCAATCCTCTACATACTTCTTTTAAAAAGATATAGTAAATGAGCAAGTACTACAGTGCTTCTATTTAAATAGTAAAATTTTTCAAGCAATTTAAGTTACACCCAGAAGCACACTCTAGCTTCACCTAGTGAACCCCTATTTCAAGACTTTTATTAATTATTTTAACTCATTTTGGTTTAAAACAGACATTTTCCTTGCAAATCGTCTAAGTTGAAATTGTGTCCTACTTTAACATCCAGAAACTGAACACAGTTGAACTGGTATATTAAAACACTAATAAATTTCAGTTCTAAATTTAGGAAGACATCAAAAAGTGTAATCCTTTTGTAACTGATTGTACAATAAACAAAATTAATATTTAAATACAACATGGCGAAACAATTATTAGAGAAAAAGATATTTAAGAGATGAATGTAACATTGATCTTAAACATGCAGAGTAAGTTGTGTGGTAAATTACACGTTAAACAGAGTGAAACTCTTTGCTTTCTCTTCCGAAAGTAAAAAAGGAGAAAGTTGCCAGGAATACAAGTAGGACGAAAAATAAAGTCAGGCAATTGAACCTGAAGACCTGAGCCACAGCAGTAACAGCTAGCAGTGTCTGAATTATTTTACCCAGAATTGATTATCTGTTACGCTACATTGGGGTATCTAGATTATTGATCTGAAAGATTATGGTACTGAGGTCTCCACACTTTTCCTCCAGGCACACGGAAGGGAGTTGCAACAAATAACACTAAGTAAGGACTACTTTGTTATTGTTGTCACCCTTCATGTAGAACACAGCAGTTACTTTTTAATTTAAAATCAATGAACATCTGAAAGGCAGCCTTGTTCCTTCAGCATAAATGAATCATTTGCCTTTGCCAAACACAACCACCTGATCACCAGCCAAGGTGAGAGCAGGTATTTCTTCGTGGTTGTCAAAAATTCTGTACGCCACAAACAAACAGCAATATACTAGAGTACCAATCAATCTGTGTGAAAGCGGGTTTTATGGCCACTAACACCAAACATTAAGCTAACTTGTGATTCTAAAGTGGCATTTACTTTTGCCAGGTCTTAGCATTTGATGTGCACTGTCAATGGAGATCACAACAAAACAATGCTGGTTTTTTTTTTTTTTTTTTTTTTAAAATAAGAGCATACAAAGCAGTATCACTGCTCTGGAACTGGCAGATTAGACAAAATGAAGTACTACTCTGAAGCTGCACAGTACCTTATGAAATGCTTGTAATGGGGGTATTATAAACTAGGGAGAACTCTGACCCTCAATCAGGCAAAGTTCAGCATTATGTTTCTTAGCACTAAATCAGAAGAGAGCGGATTACAGAAGGGAAGAAAGCTATTTGCCTGACTTCTCTCTACTTACCCCCAGCTTGCTTCCAGCTATCATTTATAAATAGTGCTCTGGAGGGAAGCTCGGCGTTTTGTTAGGGAAAAAATCAAACTTGTTAAGACCACCTTGCCTGAAAACTTGGCTTTTGACGTGCTGGTGACAGGGACTGGAGCAAGCAATGTCAAATGCAATAATTTTTAAGGAAAGACAACAGGAACTTGTCGCCTCATTGTATGCATTTACAAATAGAGGCTTTTCAGAGTATTAGGCCTAGTTAAAGCTGCCCTCTGGATAAAAAGTGTTCCCAAGCAGCCTCAGACAAGCTTGGGAGACAAACAGATGTGACTATGGTCCCTGGCGTTTGGCAAGAACACTCACTGTCAATAAGAAAAATATGAGCATGGACAGGGCATCAGCTGCACCACGGCCGAGCGGGCCTGCAAGTGTCATAGCAGCGGCAAAGTTGTGGCAGAGGAAAATAAGAGGGCTGCAAAAGCCAGGCTGGTGTGAACTTACACTAGCATGCCAAGAATTTTTTTTTTTGTTTTTGTGTCATGCCTCAACGTATTAAAAAAAAAACACTGGAAAAGCCACTGTCAATTTCTGTGGTTTTTTTCATCTTGCACAGTGTTTAGATTCTCCTTTCTATGCGGTAAATAAAAACCTTAAAAATGAAGACAGACTGGGAAGGCAGTAACAATAAAAAGCCAGTGAAATAACAAATAATAAACACAATAAAAATAGTATTGATACAGCAAATACTTTTATATAAGCAATGACATGTAAAGCAATTCACAAGCGTCTATGCATTCTTGTGACAAACATGCACTCTGATAGAAAATTTATCTTCTTCAATAGCTGCAGTCTCTACCGTTTCTTTTTTCAAGACAATTGCCCTTATTACAGTAACATGCCTAGAATTGTCTTCTTAAGCTCCCCAAACATTTCTATCCATGCCTATGCAACACAGTCTCATCTCTTCTGCAATTTTCATAGCTCTATAAGCAAATATTTTTGATGAGTGCCTTTTCTGCAGTTACACATGTCCACCTCTCTAAGACATATGTATTAGGCTATATCAGATTTTTATCTACCCTGACCTTGGCAGTCAATGCACCATTTGGTTACATTCCCCAAATAAATGTCTGTTCTGTGGGGGAAATCTATACACGCACTGCTTTAACTGCAATCCACCTTCTGAGCAACTGGGTGCAGGACTGAGTTCACCATTTCAGTCACTGAGAAGGACAATACAATGAGTGTAGGACAGCAGATATTCCTGAACATGAGTTCCAGCTCTCTAGCTGATTACATGCTTCTGTAATCACTATCATCCCACGTGTAACAAAACAAAACAAAACTCCAAACCCCCACCAAAATGCAAAAAATCCCCTCTCCCTCAAATTAAAAAACCCTATTCAAAATCAGTAATTGTTCCACAGTCTCTTCAGAAAGATGCAATGAAGACTGTGTTCCACATTCTATGATCTAGCAGGTAGCTTCCTACGGACTAGTATGATAGCCCAAACTAGCGAGACTGTACTCAGGTAGGGGAACTCTGGGTACTAGTGTATTAAATACAAAATGTTTGCATGTTTATTTTATATGTCTCATTGTAACAACATGTCTGTTGATTACTTCACTCTGCCTGTCTGCTGCAGCTGTCACCTTCCTTGCAAGCTGCAATGCTTTATTTCATACCAGCACAGTCGCTTTTGTTGGTGCACTGTAACTTTGCCGACGGTTAAAACATCATTGTAGGCAAACTTAATTTTGTCCCTTAGCACACTTACTGTCAAATCATTTACCAGACAATACTATGACATTGCTAAGATTACTTGTAAGTAACAGAGGTGATGGTTTTATGTTCTGCTTGTGCCAAAAATGCATAGAAGTACTGATTACTAAACTAGGGCACATACGGAAGGGTGTGTATTTTTTGTTTAACAGTATTTATTACATATCTGTACTCTACTTGGAAAAATTCTATGCTGCATACTATTATGATGCAATAACGTTGTTAAGAAGCCCCATTTCTATATCACAATTAGCTGAATCGGTAATGCTCAATACTTGCCTACCCATTATACTCCAATTAACATCTCTCTCATCCGAGTAACAAAACCGCGATAAGCAGTGACACAACATTTGGCCACAGTATCAACGCACTCCTGCAGATGGCTGTAGAACTCTGCAAGTTTATCACCACTGAATGCTTCGGCTAACGGAGAGGCTTGATAAAAGTTTGTAAGTGAACTTATTTCACAGGAGATTACAGTAAGGCAAAAGTTGACTGGTTTGCATTTCAGCAGGGACTTGAGAGAATTATTTTGAAGGGGAAATCAAATTGAAAGTGGCAGTCTTCAGTCTTAAAATATAGATACAAATATAGATACAAAAGAGATATGAATATGGGTATGATTGAAGAGCGAATGCAGTGAGGACCATGACTCGCTAAGTTTGACATGACTGGACATTTTCTTATAAACTGAAACTGAGTAGGA